GAAAAAAACCAAAGTGGCTGAGAAAAATGGCTAAGTAATATTAAAAACGAAAGTGGCAAAATGTAGGCCCCCAAACGAAGCTCGGATTCTCTAAACCCATTCATAAACTGTGGAAAATCCACCAATTTAAAAAACTAATTAAAGAAATGCCAAATAAATTCGCATCCAATGGGGAACTTTGTTGAAGGGGTCATAGTGCTGCAAATAGTTTTGAAATTGCCCAAGACTACTTTTCTTGTCCTGAAAGGCAAGATAGTAATGCTCAACTCTCAAACTTTCCAACAAGTTATTCGATTTTATCATCAATAAAACTTGAAAGAATGCAAAGACATCGCACAAAGGTATTTCCGCGGGGAATGGGTTCTGCATCTTTTCCCTCGGCTGCGCAGCCAACATTCGCCATAAAATCGAGACATTAATCAGTGATGCCATTTGGGACTCCATTACAGCCCAGCATTGGGACCAAATACCTTCACAATAGAGCACGAGGCTGTTAAATATCCAGTGAAATCGTCTAATTAAAAGATATACTACCGTCCTGAGTCGTCGATCCGATGGCGAAAAGGAGGAGAAGGTGAAAAGCGAGCTGGCCGAGACGGGCTTGAGGTCCTTGCCTAATCCTCGGCTACTTATGGCCCGGCTTGAACGTCTTTCGGTTCGCTTTGGCTGGTTTTTAGGGCTTTGTGCTCCCTCAACACGATTTTATGGCCCAGGGCTCTTGAAATTAGCGCGTCCGCCGTCCAAGGACGAGTCCAGCCAACCCCTAAACCCCAAACCCTCCCAGCGGATAGGCTGTCATATTGATTTTTCGCTTTTTGGCCAAACTCTGTGGGAACTCTGTGGGAACGGATCTGGCATCATAATTGAGGCCGCAATCTGGGTCGTGGTGCGCTAATTAATTTTTATTAGCTTTAAAGAAAATGTTTCATCACTTTTCTTCAGCCAACTTAATGTGTCGCTGTCCTCTTACGAATTTAATTTTATAAGAGGTGAACTGAAATGTTTGTTCAAAGTCGGAGATTTCTTCCCTGCTCTATCTATTTCAATCCGCTTCCAAAGACAGCGAAATGTAAAATTGGATTTCGTTCATATCCTTTCCATTTTGGCAACGTGTCAAGGACAAGTTAAATTTGTAGAATTTCACTCGACGGCCGAAAAGAAACCTTAAAACTAAGGGACAACTTTCCCAGCAACTTTATAGTTAGATTAAAAGCATTTCCCGACAAAATGGAAAAGTTGCTCCTCCGGCTGGCTGTATCTACAAGTATAAAGAAGTGTTGGTGGATGAGTATTTGTGTGCTTTATTCCTGTGTGTGGTAAACAACCAGAAAGTCGATTTGGTTGGCAGTCAAAATGGAAGTGGTGACTAGATGAAGCAAACCACTGCCGCCGGCAATAAAAATCTATTACATTTTGTGAGACACAACTTTGATTTTACGAACTGTCAAGCTACACCTACACAGATACACAGATAGTCACGAAAGGACCTAGATTCGCACACAGCTCATACATATTTATGTATCTGAATTCCGCTGCCGGTAGAGAGAAATAAAAATCGACGCTTCAAACTTTGCTGACGAGTTCAAAGCATATGCATTGGTTTTATGACGCATCGCCAAAGGACATGATGGATGCTCATCTCCTTGAAGTATTCCATATATAATGTAATAAACATTATGCAATCCATGCCAAGATAAATTCGCTCCAAACATCAAAGGCAAACAGTTGATGAGAAATTAGGTATTTCAAAAACACTTTCCTGACTAAATCCTTTTGTAGTACTTTTAGCAAAAGCGGCTTTGGACTGACATATGTATATGTAAGTCTATGCTCTAAGCCCTGCATACATTTACATAAGTCATCATGCATAGTTTAAGAGTCAGCTCTTCCAATTCATTTGTCTGGGGAGCTATTGCAAATCTGTTTTTCTGTTGTTAAATAGCTAAAGAGGCATTGCGGTGACTGATATTTGAAAAATGAGCAACAAAGTTGGTGGAAAACCATATTTTCCATGGATGAAAAAGAAAAGTTTTTAATTTGTTCATCATGCCGACAAAGTGAATTACCATTCAACGCGGTTGTTATGATATCGGATTATTCTCATGATGGCCAGGAATTCAATCTAACTTGTGTTTATTTATCATCATGTGCAGAGAGCGCAAAATCACATGAATGGCGGAACTTTTCTCGGCGTTTATGTAAAATTTGGAGTTAATTAGTTTGATTTCATGCTTCAAGTGTCGAGCACCCACTACGGATTGCCAATTCCATTTGCCAACTCATTAAAACTTCTCCAAGTTCGCTGGCTCCCCAGTTGCGCAATGCCTCGGCAAATTGCAAACGCTTTCTGTGGACTTTCGCAAATGAATGTCAAAACAGAAAGTATTCAAATGGCATATCTGAATAGGGACCTGTGTGCCCGGGCCTCATTTTATCAACACAAATTGACTGGTAAAGTCCTTTGCTGGCGAGCAGAAGTTATCAATTAGTTCCGGCAAGACTTAATAAACCATGCAATTCTAATTAGAAAGCGCAAGAGTATGGTGAAATTCCCGATGTTTAGGTTACTTTAGGTTACACTTTAGGTTATTGTATTAATAAATATCTTAAAAACACATAATTTCTTGTCTTAAGCTGAAAAGATTTGATGTAATCACTTTTCATGGCTCTTGCATTTTGGGCACCTCAACATGACCGAATTTAAACACGTCGGACAAGCTGAATACGACCTTTTTCTCATTTAACAAGGTTGCGAAATGAACATGCATGAAAAACTTAACAAGTGAATCAAGAGGAGAACTACATGACAGCAATGTAAATGCGATATGTAATATGTAATTTCATTGCGCCGACCATGACAATGGATGATGGTGACGGCGATGATGACGGTGCTGCGGACAAGGATGCGGATAATTGTAAAATACCATCCAAACGAGGATGCCCGTGTCAATGTCAATGTACAGAGCACAGAATTCACAATACTCGGGCACCGACATGTGGCTCTGATTAGTGCGGTTCAGCGACATCAGCAATCAATTTTAATGCATGTCAGCGCCCAGGATGTGAGTGTGCGAGTGAGTGAGCAAGGACACGGCCGTAATTATGGGCCCATCAACGCACTAGTTGTTAATAATTCTCGATTTCCCGATGCTGACAAAGTCGAGGAGCTTGGGAGGATGCCTGAGCAGTCTCCATACCTCTGGCCCTGCTCCTCCGTTCCATTCCATTTCATCAACGGCCTCAATTGCCGCCAGGGAACAATTTGAGCGAAACTTGGCTGGCATCCGAGGACTCAGCTCAGCTCCCCTGAGCTGACAATAAATATTTTCGCTGTGCTGACAGGCTGAAAATCAATACATACTTTTAGGACAACACTCTCGCAGATACACACAAAACTTGGGTATACATTTTCATTCGGCACTGCATGCACTGTGAAAACCGAAAAAGCCACCGAAATGCATCCACTCAACGTCAAACAAACTGTGCACAACTAAAATAAATTTAATTGCGACACAAGAATCCAGACAACGGTAGCCGCAAATTCTAAATGAATTAGTGCAGAATGGCCATATATTTTGGATGGTCACCAAATGGAGAAGGAGCCAGAGGTTGTTGAATGCAGATAATACACCGGCAGTTGAATAATTTGCTAAATTCAGGATGGGAGAGTTTAAAGAACCTCTTACTAAAATTCACTTGGATTTAGTAACAGGACTTCTTTTAATTAGTTCGCTAGAAGAGAAGGATATCAAATAAATACTTTAAATATGTCTTTCCCTTTTGTTACTTTGCAAATAAAGCCAATAATAAGCCCTTGGAAGCTATATAAATTAACTAAAATACATGGAAAATTCCAACAAAAATCAGTTCACCCTAAGAACTCCTGTATGTCGTATGTTTTCAAAAAAGAGACCATTTGGGCTGAAGGAAAATCTCACCTGAGTACTAATCCAACTGCCAGTCTGCGGACGTCTGCCACTTCCTTCTTTCGGACTTTTAGCCCCTAAAATACCCAACTCCATTTTCAATCTAATACGATTAAATTGTAAAAAAACAGGGAAAAGAGAGGCAAGTTAAAGGGTCCTGGAATGGAAGCGAACAAAACCTAAAGTAATTTCGCCAACACCAAATCTGTGGCATATTACACGGGACACTGGCGAAAGCTGCGAAGAGAAATCTGATCCACTTAGTTGCCAAGAGAAAGCAATAAATTCTTATGAAAACAGTTGAGGAGCAGCGACACGTCCCTGTACAAAATGAATTGAACTTTTGGTCAACGTGGAAATCGCACTAATATCTGGCCCTATAACCAACCCACTGAACAGATGAGCCTCAGGTTCTGGCCTTAGAAGGAAACAAGTTCCGTGCCTTTTCAATGTATATGAGTGGGTCGCGAGAAAACTTAGCAGGGGGAAAAGTGGAGAAGCCCAAAATCAAATAAGCTGTTGCTAGAGCCTCTGAATGAAAATAAAGTGCAAAGATGTCGGCCTTTTTATGTGTGAAGTCCCGCAAAGAAACTTAGCCAACACAGAGCTCATAAATTTCGGGTCAAATTCTAGCTGGTTACTGGAAAGCTATAAGACAGGAACTGCAATGCAAAAAACTAATACACAGGCTGAGACTGGTCACACTTACACATTTACATTTTATAAGTACATATAAGAAATGAGAACGTTTTTCCGCATGTGTTGAGAGTTTTTAACACCTTATAAATGTAAAAAGTTGACAAATCGGACAATAAAAAATCTGTTAAGTATCGAAACCTAGAGATGATTTAAATATCTGCAATAATAATTTATAATATAATATTATTTCAAATTCATATATCTGATAGTAATTCTTTTCACGGTCACTTCTTTTGTACTTCGATCTTGTACTTCATCTTCATTTAGACTTCGAATTGTGTTGGTTTACACACCTTCTGGTATATAATTTTTTTATTATCGGACCATTTAAGTTAATGGTTAAATTTGCTTGTATTTTACTTTTCGGTGCTTAATTTAATCCATAAGCTTGTCGGCTATGCTCTGAACTATGAATTTTGAAGCGATCTTAGCGAGTTCAGGAAGGCCTTTAGGAGTTTTTTTTTTCTTCCATTTTTTACCGCCTTGGACTGGTACTCCATCGACGAGCACAATCCCTCCTTTAAAGTCATTGACTTGTGTATTCAGTTGAGCTTCTTTTGCCACATCTGATCCCTGCTGGGCCTTGTATTTATTATAAATTTCGATGACTTCATCTGCGATTTCAAGCTGGGTGTTGGCGTCATCAGTTTGCTGAACTTCAATCTGGAGCCTTTCCTGTAAGGCTGAAGAGCACAGCCAGGAGAAAGCTGAAATTAAAACCTAATTATTATTTATTGGATTCAATATAATACTTGACTTGCCTTAGGCGGAGGGCAAAATGCATCTTCACTTATTTACTTGTGATGGTAGGGTGAACTAATTGCTGTTCATGACAACTCTTCTTTTATAGGCAGCTATGAAAAGAGGAGCTATCTGAAATGATTCTGCAGGAATTCTAGGAACTCTCTGGGTCATTAAATGCAGCTTGATTTTGTAATGCAATGTACTGGGATCAAGTAATTTTCATGGAATTGATAACATTAAAGTCGTAACGTTTCTTCATTCAATTCTGGGAAAGAAGCAATATTTTTTCTCTCTTATCAGTTGTAAGCAGTTTTATTTAAACGAACTGGACTCTGTTCCTAGACCTATGCTAACTCATCAATTCTAACACAACAGCTTTAATATATTAACAAAAGAAAAATCATACTCGTATATACTCGTCTATGATTTCATTCGAACTGAATCATCTTTGGAAAAATGTTTCTTTTTTCTGTGCACTCCTGGCTTTGCCAAGGCCGCTTGAAGCCGGTAATTGAAATTCAGTGTTTGCGTCACGACACAAAACTTAAACAAAACAGGAGAGCGATAGCCCGGCAGCCCGACAAAAAGTCAGCGGCAAGCCGAGTCGGTAGCCCACGAGAAGGACATTAAATTAAGTCTCCTGCCAGGATGATCAAAGTTTTCCAACCGCACTGTTGCGCTACCTTGAGGTTGCATACATATGTGTGCTTTTGCCTTTTACATGTGCTTAAGGAGCCCATTGTTGGTGTAATAAAATGGTGAAGGGCAAAGCCAAAACAGTAAGTCGACATGCAAAAAGGATACACGTTATAAAAAGCGCATAAACTTTGCCGAAAGTGACAAACAAAGAGGCCCACCTACAAACACTGAAAAGTTGGGGGAATTCGCAGTGTGAGGAGCCAAACAAAAGGTGGGCGAAATTGAAGCCGACTTGATGGGCTGTAAATGGCAAACTTTTCTTTTCGCATTTCCGGCCTCCGTATTTTTATCCGCACAGGTGCTAAAACTTTATCACAATATGCGTGTGGCGAGGGAAACCACTCGAAAAGAGTCGAAGATAGGACAATTTAGGGAAGGAAGCGTGCTGAAGTATCTATCCATATCCACTGTAGCCCCAACGCTGGGTTGTGCCTTATCTTTGCATTTGAATTAGACTCTTGCTCATAAACAAACGAAATTGAATTTTCCCCGAAAACAGTTTTGCTCAGGTGGGGAAAAACAGTTTTTGTTGCTTTTGTTTAGGTATAAATATATTCAAGTTATTGGAATGGCTCTTCCCGGAATACAAAAATAGTTACACCTCCTTCTTAAAGAAAATTTTAAATCTATATACCAACCAAACACCGTTTGCATTAATTTTGAATAGAAATTACGTAGCGGAATGCACATGAAATCCAGAAATGCTTAAATAGTTATACATTCAGTTTATTTTACAATAAACGTGCGCTAAATGATTTTTCCTCTTTTTCATTCAGCACCATCTAATGGCTTTCAGCCAAAAACTGAAAAAGTGTCGTTATTTCTTTAAATTCCTTTCTAGCCAAGAAAGTTGGAGGCACTTACTAGCCAAGCCGTGAAGGCCACGCCAAAAGTTCCGCCCATGTTCCTGGCTTGCTGGCAGTGGCTAACACGTTTTTGGCCATGTAAATAGTTGACGGTCATGCCATTGAGTTGGGGGATACTAGCCGCGCCCAGCAGCTGGATGCGTATCCCGTTTTGGCAGTCGACATCGCAGCAGCTTGTGTGCCTGTGCCTGCAGGGTATTTCATTTTGAAAAGCAGAGCTCAGCTCGGCTCAGTTCGGTTCGGGTTTAGCTGGCTGTCTGTAGGGAAAAACACTTGACAAGGCAAAAATGCAGATTTTATTTTGTGTGCCACGTTGTCACATGATAATCAGGACGATATAGGCGACGATGTAAGAGGTAAGAGCCTACACATGACAACAGGATACAGCCGAGAACCCTTGTAAGCACATCTTAGCAAAGGGCAGGCAGAAAAAAGGACACCCTATGCAGCAGGACGGCTTTTTGCGCTCTAAGGCTGAATTCCAAACAAAACATTATTAGGAAGTCTGCCTGCTGGTGCTGAGGTCTTGACTTCTAAGCCATTCCTGCAAATCGGCGATGCAGGGGTGTAAAATTGCTCGGTAACATATAATTTCGTATTTTCCACTGTACGAACTCCATTTGCAGCATGTTGTGTCGTCAAATCCTTGTGACCCAGTTAGTTAGCTAGCCAAAAAGTGTTCGTCAGTGAGCTAAGTCCACCGGATTCCAACCTCCAACCGGTCAAGGAAAAAACTGAACTGCAACAAAATCTCTATCTTTCAGCAACTTAAATTACTCATTTTACAAATTTTACGCAACTGAAAAATATTGACTTTGAAATATATTCTGTAACTTTATAATTTCATAAGTTTCAGCTATAAAGTTACACGAAATGAGCTGTGCATACCAGCCCCACTGTAATTGAAAGCAGGTACTCAGTGCAGTTGACACTTCGATAAGCAGGTGTTAGCCTCGATGTGTTTAGCAGTTGTTATTCAATTTAATTTGTGCTCCAAGCCCCGGATCCTGATAATGTGTTTGTGTTGGTCTGTGTATGTTGGTTCTCGGGCTAGCATTTAATTAAACAAATTGCCAGCAGCAGCAGCGTTGACGAGTTCAGTAAACAGGAAGGGATTCCAGGAAAGCCAAGGGATGGGGCAAGGATCAACTTTACGACACATTCAGAAGTCAAATGCCACAGCTGATGGCGTTGATGAAGGGTGCACACTAGTCCCCACCCACAAGGATGTCCTGTTTCAGCCGGAGACGCCCACCATCCGTGGAAGGTCTCTGTCAGACGCTTTCGACACTTGCATGTTAATTACTTTCCACATGCCTTGTTTCGACCAGACAATCAAAAAGTTTCGTCAGCCGAAAACGAGTTTGTGTAGAACACCGGAAAAAGTGTTTTACCCAGAAATAATAATTGCGAAAGCTTTTTCGAAAAGCATCTTGCACAGTCCAGTTTTGTTTGGGTGTTGATTGAATTCAACGTAAACTTTGGTCAAATTGAATGAACAAAGTTCGCCCTGCTTTCTTTCTAAATAAATAATAATTTTAAATAAACTTTTTACGATCTAATCTGAGTGAATATTTTTGGAATTTGTAGTGCACGCAATATGCAAGTTAAAATGCTTAGCAAAAGATATGAAAATGCCGCTCAAAATTTCCTTTACGATGGCCGCTTCATAACGAAAATTAGTGAACATAATGATACAACTGTATATCAACTAATTCCCTTGCTAGGACTAAAACACTACATTTATATTACTTGGTTCCAGTGCTTAAAATGTTATTGTTTATGCAATGAGCTTAATTACTTTCCGTGTGGAGTTTATTTTATCACAAGAAAGATGTCAATGATTTCAATGGCTAGCTTATAATCCAGCTGTGCTGGATGTAAACCAGTTAGTAAATATGCTACAATTCTTGTACCGAGTTCGGTAAAGAATCTAGTCTTCCTAATGAACTTCGTCCTAGAACTACCTTCGACTCCATCGACTAGGATTTCTATCCTATATTCACTGATTTTGTCAATTCCCGCCCTTTTATCTGGTCTCAAGCTTGGAGACAGACGATTGTATATGGTAAGTTGTTCCTGGATTCTATTGATTTGGCTATTGTCGTTCTGGGAGGTTTGTATAATTTTAGCAACCCAAAGACTATCAGCTAGACGTTCCTGGACAGAATACGCCGATCACAATGTACCAATCAGGAGCAGTGCGAAACAACTGAGAAGTGCGCAAAAATAAACTAGACTTAAATAAAATACACAATCTCAAAATATGAATACATGTTAAGTTCAAGTTATAATAATTCTCAGTATATAACTGATAACCGAGCCTAAAGATTGCCACTTTTCGTGGAATGCTATCAAAACGGTCAACGGAGCATTAATAACAAAAAATACTATTTACTGTTAATAAATAATATTTATTTTAATACAAGCTAGAGGAATTTCTAACAATAAATTCCAACATTTTTCTGGAATATCAATAAAAATTGGAACAAAGTAATAAATACCCCTTATTTACATTTTAAGCATATCGTGAAGCTGTTCGACATCATTGCTTCCAGATACATCATGTGCATTCAAATTTCATTTGAAATTATTTCTTAAAAGTTGTATACAGAACATTTAAGATGCAATTATTACATTAAAATATTAAAAAAGCTCTTTTTTATAAGTATATTTTCATTTTGTTGTTTGGTATACCCATATAATTATTAAAACAATTTTATCCAGTGAACAAACCAGCAAGTTTTGAACCAAGTTCTTCAAAGAACCCAGTGGCAACCCCCTTCGTAGCTTCAGATAAAATCTTTCCAGCGAACTTGGTCTTCCGGCCTCCCTGACTTGGAACTCCATCGACTAGAACTTCATCCGTATGCTCATTGACGAAGTTATCGATACTCTCCCGTTCCTCAGGGGTCAAACTGGGATATAAACGCTTGTAGATATCAAGTAATTCCTGGATGCTATTGATTTTGGAGTTGTCGTCCTGGGAGTTTTTGATAATTTCAGCAACCCTACGGCTGTCAGCTTCACGATCTTCGGCGGTATAGCCCATGCATAAAGGACTAATCAGCAGCAGTGCAAAGCACCTATATCAATATTTAGAATATTATTATTTTATTATTGTAGTAAGATTAGGGTAAAACCCGGTGCTACGTACATGAGAGAAGTTGCTGAATTCATTTTGGTTATGACTTTCTGAAAAGCTGAAGCAACCTGTACTGATTTCCCAGCAGCATGGAAGCTGAATTTATAGCCCAGCGCAAATCGAAATGAATTTTGATATTCTTAGATTACTGAATATCAGCAAACACGTCACAGAATTACATTACATTTAATAGAATTACATGTTTATACCCGTTACTCGTAGAGTAAAAGGGTATATTCGATTCGTTGAAAAGAAGGAAACGTTTTCGACAATATCAAGTAAATATATTTTTGATCATATGTTCTTGAGATATTTTTGTTGTTGAGATATTTTTTCAATTTTTTTATATATCTTGCAAATTTCTATAGATCTGCCAAAACACTTTTTGCCACGCCCACTCTAACGCCCACAAATCACACAAAACTCTCACGCCTACACTTTTGAAAAATTTATAAATTTGTTTTCATTTTATTTTTTTTTACCAATTTCTCCCGATAGTCCAGAAAAATTTTTAAATTTCTCGTTAGCACTTCCACTAGTTGAGTAACGGGTATCTGACAGTCGGGGAACTCGACTATAGCATTCTACCTCGCAGTTCTTTACAAAGTTCACTGGAATTTTCATTATCATAGCTGATAAGCAAATCAAGTAATAAATTCTTTGTACAACAACAACTGAGACAGGATGATAAGGACGCTGAGCAAGATGTTTTGTGCAGGTATGCGACGACAATATACATTTAAGGAATGGTCGAGCCCTGGTTAGGTCCCCACCACCCCTTTCGGACGGGTGTACTGCGGGTGCTAATTGCCTAAACATAATATTTCCTCAAATAAATCGTATGTAGCTTTCATATCAATTTATGAATCTCAAAATATGAATACATGTTAAGTTCAAGCTATAATAATTCTCAGTATATAACTGATAACCGAACCTAAAGATTGCCACTTTTCGTGGAATGCTATCAAAACGGTCAACGGAGCATTAATAACAAAAAATACAATTGGAAAAAGCAATACAAAAATAAAAAAATTTTTTAAATGTTTCAAAATTGTTGGCGTGACGGTCCATTATTCTAAAGTAATAAATACCCCTTATTTACATTTTAAGCATATCGTGAAGCTGTTCGACAATTGCTTCCAGATACATCATGTGCATTCAAATTTTATTTGAAATTATTTCTTAAAAGTTGTATACAGAACATTTAAGATGCAATTATTACATTAAAATATTAAAAAAAGCTCATTTTTATAAGTATATTTTCATTTTGTTGTTTGGTATACCCATATAATTATTAAAACGATTTTATCCAGAGAACAAACCAGAAAGTTTTGAACCAAGTTCTTCAAAGAACCCAGTGGCAACCCCCCTCGCAGCTTCAGTTAAAATCTTTTTAGCGAACTTGGTCTTCCGGCCTCCCTGACTTGGAACTCCATCGACTAGAACTTCATCCGTATGCTCATTGACGAAGTTATCGATACTCTCCCGTTCCTCAGGGGTCAAACTGGGATATAAACGCTTGTAGATATCAAGTAATTCCTGGATGCTATTGATTTTGGAGTTGTCGTCCTGGGAGTTTTTGATAATTTCAGCAACCCTACGGCTGTCAGCTTCACGATCTTCGGCGGTATAGCCCATGCATAAAGGACTAATCAGCAGCAGTGCAAAGCACCTATATCAATATTTAGAATATTATTATTTTATTATTGTAGTAAGATTAGGGTAAAACCCGGTGCTACGTACATGAGAGAAGTTGCTGAATTCATTTTGGTTATGACTTTCTGAAAAGCTGAAGCAACCTGTACTGATTTCCCAGCAGCATGGAAGCTGAATTTATAGCCCAGCGCAAATCGAAATGAATTTTGATATTCTTAGATTACTGAATATCAGCAAACACGTCACAGAATTACATTACATTTAATAGAATTACATGTTTATACCCGTTACTCGTAGAGTAAAAGGGTATATTCGATTCGTTGAAAAGAAGGAAACGTTTTCGACAATATCAAGTAAATATATTTTTGATCATATGTTCTTGATATAATGTTGTGATATTTCTTCACTTTTTTATATATATTGAAAATTTCTATAGTTCTGCCAAAACACTTTTTGCAACTCATTTTTTTAGCATTTCTTTACAAAGTTCACTGGAATTTTCATTATCATAGCTGATAAGCAAATCAAGTAATAAATTCTGTGTACAAAAACAACTGGGACACTGTATTAATTATTAACTGATAAGGCTAAATCTGCAGGAATATGTAAGTAGAGTTTTTTCTGAACACGTGTGTAACTTTGCTAATTTATTTATTAACAAACTTTCGCTTAGAATTATGATAGTTATCAAAATGAACGAAGTGACGTGGAGAAGTTATATTATTAAGATGTAAAAAAAAGTTATTCGTAATGACAATTTTAAGAGAATTTTAAAATAAACCACACTAAATGCTAGGTTCAAGCTGTAAAATGTATCAGTCACAAATCTACTTCATTTTAAATTAAATTAAATGTGCTCTCCCACATGGATAGAGAGTGAACCAAATGAGGAGTCAGTTTGTTTGTTTTAAGTACCGCCAAGGCTAATTGAAACATTTAAACCCAAACAACTGCGAGCGGATACTATGGATATATGCTGCGAATAAGTATACACTCTTGCAGGATCTGGGGGCAATCGCAATGATAATACATTTTAAACAGAACCCCCGACCGTTGTCAGCACTTGTGAGATGGAATTACGCAATCAGGTCGCAGGATGATAAGGACACAGAGCAAGATGTTTTGTGCAGGTTTGCGACGACAATATACATTTAGCTAGGTGTTAACATTTCCACCGACTGCTGAAATCGTTGGTATTTTCGGGGGCGGAAGGGTCGAGCCCGGGTTAGGTCCCCACCACCCCTATCGGACGGGTGTACTGCGGGTGCTAATTGCCTAAATCTTTCCCACATGGCCCACACAAGCTGCCAATTTGTAGGTGGGCTCTTTAATGGGCTGACTAACTGCCTGTCGACTTATTAATGAAAGCGGCGGCTGCAGGCTCAAGTTTACCCCTTTGAATTTGAGTCAACGGCATTTGCATAATACGGCCACATTCGAAGAAAAAGGTGCAGGCATAGCATGTACTTAGGTGTCAAGGATCAAGGGTCGACGCAGGTCAGTCCTCTGCACTTTTAATCAATCCCCTATAAAAATCTTCTGCCATAAAACGGCAAAAGCGCGTGGCGTGGATAAATTAGAGCGATTTCGGGCTACATTTCTTCCACAAGATTTATTACAGAACAAAACTCCCCATGCTGATGATGATGATTATGCCCCTTCCTAGCCTTTTCGATTTACCGATTTTCAGTTGGCGCCAAAGATTGTTGCATATCAAATGGCGCCTAAGTGCTGGGTGTGCGCCTCCAAACAAATCAAATCAGAATTCGGATTTTTACGGCCCGACTCCATTTATTTAAATTCAATTTTATATTAGCAGCACTCACTTTCGCCTTTATTACCACTGGAATGGCTTACAAAGTGGATTTGGAGGCGCCTATAAAAGCGGGCCAAAGAAAAAGTATAAGCCCTAAACGAGGCGCCGTCGAACTGAGGACTTTAGAGCATGTCCCGAGGGCTTCAGCCATTCATTCAGCTCAGGCATTCAAGCAGCTGACATGGAATTAAATGGCGTCCTTACAAATTTGTTGCATATGCCACTCCTGTTAAATTGCGTCACTCGTCCTCGCTATCAGCCATCTGACATCATTGCCCGCCGAATGCTCTAAAAACACTAATAAACCGTCCTTGCTGTGCTCAAAAAAAAAAAACAAAGTGCAGGAGAGCTCTCACTAAAAGCTGTTTGAGTGCCTTTTTGTGAACTTTTTAATTGGCAAAAGCCCACCTAAAGCATCCTTACCAAGACTCCTGTCACTTGGAGCGCCCATATATATTATATAAATAATTCGAGTCATAAGTAATGTCCTCGGTGCACAACATTTTCAGGCAGCCAATTAATTATTCAAATCAATTGATATTCCACGCGCTTACTATCCCACTTGATAAGAGACAACGAAGTGAATTGATTGAATTTAATGAAACTTTATGCTTTCCTTTTTATTCACGCCTCTGAAAAATACAGTATATCAAAACATTTTAATTTTGGAAAGGGTCAGTTGAAAAGCTTTGCGTCTAAGCTGTATGTCATAGCAAAGAACAAAATATTCTTTTGTGGAAAATATAACCACTGGCATATGAAACTACACATCTGTAAGTAAAGCCAGACATTACATTCTTTCAAGTAAGCTGTTTTTCATGGAAATGCATTGCATATGCTTGACCAACGGCAACAGTTTGACAACTCCCATATTTTCCTTTTGGTATTTCGCTTTCATCTTTGCCTGAGACTCCCTTAAAATTGAATGGAAGGAGAATGACTAGCTGCTCGAAAATGTATTTACATTTATGCACAATGAGAAATATTTTGAGGTCCACTTGACCCTGGAATGCCATGGCTCGGGGCATAACCTTCACATGCGTATGTCTTACTCTGCATTATTAAAATTATTTAGCCTAAGGTCTGCCATGACAAGCAGGTCTTGTCAGCATTTCCATACGCATTGGGATAATAAAGCCAGCCCAAAGGCCAAATTGATGGAGGCCAGACGACCGACAGACAAAGTCACGGAGTAAGGAGATTGTCCAAAAGTCAGATGTTTTGAGTTCATTTTACACATCTCGGAAACGAAATCAGACTGCAATCTCAAAAAATCTCAACCTAAAAAAACTTAACACCTAATTTAAAATTTACCACCCAAAACAACTATCTAAAATCGACTCATTTATTTTTAGAATTTCCCTCTAACATTGTTGTCCTTATATAAGAGCATTAAATTGAACAGCAGAGGAAGGCAACTTAAACAATGCAATAAAATATACATTTTAGGTTCAGTTTAATTTTACTTTGGGACAAAAAAATCTACATTTTGCCGCACTTATATAAAGAGTGCATAGCATTTGTTCAGAGTCATGGCGTTCGACTTACCGAAGTTTGCCTATACCACCTCCTCTTACCCCCGCACCTGATGCTAATAATGTGCTGCATACTTTCGGGAGCACCTGCTCGAAAAGTGCTTTGCCATTTAATTTGAAATAATTACCGCTGAAAGCTAGGAGCCAACTATGTGCGCGACGTATATGAGCGTGTGCAATTTATGGGTGTGCGTACGTGGGAAAAATTGTTGGCCATGCGCGCGTTATGTTGAAATTAATAAGCCAGACCATTGCTCTACTTCATTGCCACAGCGGAGAGGCACAGACAGAGCGAGAGGATGGGATGCTAGCGCAGAGCGAGAGGGAGTATTGATGCTGATGAAGTCGCTCAGACAAAAGCGGAAACAAGTACAACCAGCAGCTTCCGGCCAACGTAAATAAGGCACTAACCGAAAACCCACTGGCAAAGATATGCATGATTACACTCACTGGTATGGAGACACGGACACAGATGCAGATACACGGAGAATGGCTGCACACACACATGAGCACAGTGAGAAGAATTGGGGCCTTTTTTCCTGTATATTTTGTGACTTGAAACCACCTTGGAGAGCGCATTGAAGTATGCTGTGAGAAAGGAAGAAATCAATACGTCTTGAGAATAGGTACTTGTTCACACCTTTACGAAGATTCAATTTTCTAGTGATAGATTTTAGCTTTTAAGTAGGATTATGAAGACTAACAATTATAATACATTTGCAGATAAATTACATACGTGACCATATATATTTCCATTGGTTTGTAACAATTTTTTAGGTGCAATTGGAGCTGACAGAACCAACTGAATTTGCCCGGCAACAGAGCTTGATGATATTTCGCGCGAGGTCCTACGATTTTCCCACTCTGACATTCCATATTTATGGTTACACACGCATGCATAATGTATGTGTGTGCGATTGTGGGTATATTAAGCGACAGCGCTGTTGTTGTGTGTTATTAATGGCCCTTTGCCTTTGTTTGTTAAATTGTTAATACTCTCACATTTACGCGCTGCAATTCAAGGGCCCATTCGCATGCATTTCCCCATCACTGCCGCTTTGCATTATCCTTGCACTTTAAGCTCAACGCGGTCAACGGCATAATGAGTTCTTTGTTTTATTAATGCCTTTTTTTCGCCGCATTTCCGCTGGCTGCTTACTTTGTGATGTTTAATCCTTTTCCTCCTCGGTATTTTAAAGGTACTTTTGGGGGAAACGCGGTTCTCTGATTATGAGTGGGACTTCAGCTTTTCCACTCAACCACCGGTTCTCATTGGGAAAGCTCAAAATACTGGTTAAAAAATTAGGTTATTAATACATTATTTCATATATGCCGAACGGCAAGGAACACTCCAAGGCTAAGTATTTGTTTAGTAAAATATTTACTTATTATACCCGTTACTAGTAGAGAAAGAGGGTATACTATATTCGTTGAAAAGTATGTAACAGGCAGAATGAAGCATTTTTGATCAAGGTCAATAGCCGAGACGATCTGGCCATGTCCGTCTGCCCATCCGTCTGTCAGTATGAACGCCTCGATCTCAGTAACTAAAAAAGCTAGAAAGTTGAGACTAAGCATGCACAGACGCAGCGCAAATTTATTTTCAAATATTGTCACAACCCAAGACGCCCATAACTGCAACGCCCACACTCTTGAAAATTGTAAAAATTCTACGGATTTCTACTGATATTCCAGAAAATTTTGAAATTTCTCGTTCACACTTAGCTGAGTACCGGGTATCTGATAGTCGGGGCACTCGACTAAAGTCCATTTAAAATAGCCAAGTTAAATGTTCTCATGATTATTTTTGTGTCCTGTCAAATCTAAGCAATGGTAGTAACATTGTACCACAGTATTAAATGATATGTAAATTTCTACAGTCACAACCGAAGTATTTTTAGGTATTTAGCTTGAGGAACCTTTTGTTTCAATGTTTTGAGACCCAAAAGCTTCGAAGACAGAATGTCGGCAAAGCAGTTGGAATCGGATCCCCTTGTTTTCCCACCACCGGGCTTCAGAATAAAAAGCTCATCTGGCGGATGGGGTGACAACCCTTAGCATCTGCTCTCCCAGCATCCACTGCGCAGCTGTTTGAACTGTCAGCCGGCTTTTGAATGCTGGCCCACCCCACAAACAGCCCACCCGGTAGACCAAGTCCGCAACAGGATAAAAGAAGGCAAATCAAACACTCGCAACTCAGTGGATGTCACATCCTCGCAGAAATCGGTTGAGCGGAATTTCGTAAAACTAAAAGTACAAGCCCTTGGAGAAATAGGAAAAACGCACAGCGGAATTGCCGCCAAGTAACAATGTTAAATATCTGCTAGACACAAATATCTGACAAGTGACAAGTGATTGACATCCCTTGGGGAGATCATCTGAAACCGAAAACTGCCTTCGCGAACAAATTCAGAATGCGGACGAGTGCAGTTTTGGTCCTGCCGCTTCTGCTCCTGCAATTAATTTTAAACTGCCGAAAAGCCCAATCCCTGCCCGATATAATCAAGATTGGTGAGTTGAAGATGCAAAGCTACTCAGCTATTTCTTAGAGTCAGCATTCAAGTGGATTTATGCAGAACCCGGATGAAAACAAAAATTCAGCCCGCATCTTCGCTCTGTATCGATTTTTTACACGTCATAATCAAGAGCGCCTGTCTCTGTGTGAGTGTGTGTATTTTATTCGAGCGGATGTGTGTGTTTGTTTGTTTGTTTTTATTTGAACACTGCGGAAGTGGAACCAACATATTTGATATGTCCAAAAACACGGCCTGTAATTTCTCACCGCAGGTGGCCTCTTCCATCCCGCCGATGACCACCAAGAGCTGGCCTTCCGCCAGGCGGTGGACCGCATCAACGCCGACCGCTCCATCCTGCCGCGCTCCAAACTGGTGGCCCAAATCGAGCGCATCTCGCCATTCGACAGCTTCCACGCCGGGAAGAGGGGTGAGTTTGCATGTGCCGAGTACTCGCAGTGTTGACATGGCCTGATTTCCCACTGTCCTGTCACGTTACCCCATCCCGTCGCCACCGGCCTCCCTCGTAAACTTCACCTTCACCTGATGCTTTTACCTGCATATTTGATTTGAACACATCCCTTTGCTGGCTTCTCCTGAGTTCCCTTGCCGTTCCCAAATTGATACCGCTTTGTTTCCTTTTCGATATGTACTTAATTTATACCTCTTGTTTTGATTTCCATTTCATTTCCGATCTATGGTATGGTAATTGCAGCAAGAGGACCTCACTTCTTTTGTACTCGCGATAAGTTCGTTGTCGCAACATTTGGATCTCTTTTTCAAGACTCTTGCATTATGATATAAGTATTCAAACTTTGAAAATAATTAAGTAGAGCAGTCAATACTTAAAAACTATCAAGCTCATGAAAGGCTTCTTCTGCTTATTTTTAAGAATTCGCAATCCCTTTCGTTGGCTGAGAACATAAATCAAAACGATGCGATTTTTACTCCTCTCGAACATTTTAACATTTTAATAGGGCTATTACCTACAAGGTGAATCAAAAGATAACAATAGTACAAAAAAGGCATTACTTTTTGTGGGCTTAAACTTAACTTAACGTTATGCTACATTTAAATAGAAAAGTCCCTTAAACTCGGCCAGATAAATACATATCGAGATGTGCAAGCCAGGACGGTCCTCAATTTGCAGTTTATTGTGGGATTTGGGGGCAGGTGAGTTCTCCGCCACTTGATAATCGTTAAAAGCTGAAGATGAATCGTAAAGCGGGCAAAGGAACGTGAGCCAACTGTCGAATATCCTGTGATAAATGAGACACAAATGACGCCGAAGTTGGCCCGAGCACATGGCCAAAAAGCAGAAAGAGAACGAACTCCTTGGCCAGAGTAAACCACACTTCAGCACGACAGTAACGACGAGCAGCGAGCCAGGCAGCACCCTCATCCGCACAGAGACACTGAGTCCTGAGAGCAGGTTAACCGCATCACAGAGTCAGGACATCGAAGTGCAGGTGCACATGCACTTACACGTGCTTAGCGCATTTGATGAGCCGAAAGGATGCTGACTGACAAGAGGGGAAAACCTATGGGAGTGGTTGGTGGAGAGGGCTAAAAGCAAAGGCCAAACGGGCTAAACGAAATTATGTCATGCTGAAGTGCATTTTAAATATGCGAACGAGGCTAACTGAACATTACCGAGCCGAAAGCCAAGCACATTACTACGCTACTTGCGCTCGTTTTTACTTTCTGAGCCTTACAGGTCGGAGCCCCAGATTATCTCCCCCACAAGCAGATTGGATTGGGATCGGGATCGGGAATGGGCTTGGGCTTGGGCACCGAGCACGTAACCTGGAAATCAATTTGCGACTTTTAAGCTCTTTGGGATTTGTGTTTCGCTCAATTTGCCGTAGGGCAGAAAGTGAGGAGTTGTTCCTTGATATTCGGAAACCTATCAAGCAGACATTTTACAGCAGTTGCGTTTGATTTGCTGAACATCAGGGGGCGTGGGTAGATAGTTTCTGAAACTTAGTTCGTTGAAGAGCAACAAATAATTTGAACATAAACCTCAATTGCACTGTTTGTCTTGCAGTTTGTGGCTTACTGAACATCGGCGTGGCAGCTATTTTTGGGCCACAATCCTCCCACACCGCCAGCCATGTACAGAGCATTTGTGACAACATGGAGGTGAGTCGGCAAACGCCAGATGTCTCGTCCATGAGACCCATAGAACCCTCTGAAAAACATACTACCAATACTAATTTCAGATTCCCCACTTGGAGAATCGCTGGGACTACCGGCTGAGACGAGAAAGCTGCCTGGTGAACCTTTATCCGCACCCTAATACGCTTTCCAAGGTATTCAGATGCATTTGGATGCCCCTCCCACTCCCGAAACTACATTGTCGATGTTTTATCTTGTTCTTAGGCTTACGTGGATATCGTGCGGCATTGGGGCTGGAAGACTTTCACCATCATCTACGAGAACAATGACGGCATTGTGCGGCTGCAGGAGCTGCTCAAGGCGCACGGGATGACGCCCTTTCCCATTACTGTGCGACAGCTAAGCGACAGTGGGGATTACCGGTAAGCCCAGCCAATCGTATCCTCCGATTCCGACTGTAGTGGGTATTTCGTTACTGTGGCCCACATGGGCCACTTGTCCTTAAGATTGTGTGCCCTTAATCATAGCCATCTTAAATACATTTAGAAGTAGGTGGGTTCTATTCCTATTTGGCCAGTCAATAGAATATATTTAGAAGAAGACCTATACCGTCTTAATGAGAATATTACAATTGCTATCACCATTACAGGCCCCTCCTGAAGCAGATCAAGAACTCGGCGGAGGCGCACATCGTGCTGGACTGTTCGACGGAGCGAATCCACGAGGTGCTGAAGCAGGCGCAGCAGATTGGCATGATGAGTGATTACCATAGCTACCTGGTGACCTCGCTGGACCTGCACACGGTTAACCTCGATGAGTTTCGGTACGGCGGCACAAATATCACTGGGTTCCGGCTGATCAACGAGAAGATTGTCTCGGACGTGGTGCGCCAGTGGAGCATCGACGAAAAGGGTCTGCTGCGGTCCGCCAACCTGACCACCGTGCGCTCGGAAACTGCTCTTATGTACGACGCAGTGCATTTGTTCGCCAAGGCGCTGCACGACCTGGATACTTCACAACAGATTGACATCCATCCCATCAGTTGCGATGGACAGAGCACCTGGCAGCACGGCTTCAGCCTGATCAACTATATGAAGATCGTCGAGATGAAGGGCCTGACGAATGTGATTAAGTTCGATCACCAGGGTTTCCGCACGGACTTCATGTTGGACATTGTGGAGCTAACTCCAGCGGGTATCCGGAAGATCGGCACCTGGAACTCCACGCTGCCCGATGGTATCAACTTTACGCGCACCTTCAGTCAGAAGCAGCAGGAGATCGAGGCTAATCTGAAGAATAAGACGCTGGTGGTTACAACCATATTGGTATGGAACATTGAGCAGTAAATAAATATACGATATTAACATTTTTTATAATTTCTTTAGAGCAATCCTTACTGCATGCGCAAGGAGTCCGCTATTCCCCTAAGTGGCAATGATCAGTTTGAGGGCTATGCGGTGGATCTGATCCATGAGATCTCCAAGTCACTCGGCTTCAACTATAAAATACAACTAGTGCCCGATGGCAGCTATGGAAGTCTCAATAAATTGACGGGGTAGGAACATATTTGATATTATTAGGGATCTATTAATTATTTATATTTAACCAATCTAGCGAATGGAATGGCATGATCCGGGAGTTGCTGGAGCAGCGTGCCGATCTGGCCATTGCGGATCTCACCATCACCTTTGAGCGGGAGCAGGCAGTAGACTTTACCACACCCTTCATGAATCTTGGAGTTTCCATATTATACCGGAAGCCAATTAAGCAGCCACCCAACTTGTTCTCCTTCCTGTCTCCCCTGTCCTTGGACGTATGGATCTACATGGCCACTGCGTATTTGGGTGTCTCCGTGTTGCTCTTCATTCTGGCTAAGTGGGTTCAACATACTCCTCATGGATTAGTTGATTTGAATACATCCCTTATACAGATTCACACCCTACGAATGGCCGGCTTATACGGATGCTCATGGCGAGAAGATTGAGAGTCAGTTCACCCTGCTCAATTGCATGTGGTTTGCCATCGGATCGCTGATGCAGCAAGGATGTGACTTTTTGCCCAAGTAAAGGTTGAAATTAGCGTTGGTGTTCCGCTTTTAAAGTACTAACTTACAGGGCTCTATCCACTCGCATGGTGGCTGGCATCTGGTGGTTCTTCACCCTGATCATGATCTCCTCATACACTGCAAATCTGGCTGCCTTTTTGACTGTGGAGCGTATGGATTCACCCATCGAAAGTGCTGAGGATCTGGCCAAGCAAACGAGAATCAAATACGGCGCGTTGAAGGGCGGCAGCACGGCAGCTTTTTTTAGGGTAAACGCAGAACATATTGAGTGTTAGCTATAAATAACGGTATTTATGTTTTACTTACAGGACTCAAAGATCTCCACATATCAGCGCATGTGGTCCTTCATGGAATCAGCTCGTCCTTCGGTTTTCACAGCCAGCAATGGCGAGGGTGTGGAAAGGGTAGCCAAGGGAAAAGGTAAGTTAAAGGATATTTTGTAAGAAGCGAATTCAAACAACATTTTATGTTTCAGGATCATATGCCTTTCTGATGGAGTCCACCTCCATTGAGTATGTGACCGAACGCAACTGCGAGCTAACGCAAGTTGGTGGAATGCTGGACACCAAGAGCTACGGCATTGCCACTCCACCGAGTACGTTCATGTTAATTGGGTTATAAACGGGGCAGCGGTTAGGTTTGGTTTCCTTGGAACAAGCACTCAAATGCAAGCGTGTGCCTGGAATAGCTGCCTCGTTGACAACCAATTTCAGCAAGACCCCTAACTAACCGGTGCTTAATTCCATCTACAGATTCGCCCTATCGCACTGCCATCAACAGCGTGATACTCAAGTTGCAGGAGGAGGGCAAGCTGCACATCCTGAAAACCAAGTGGTGGAAGGAGAAGCGCGGCGGCGGCAAGTGTCGCGTGGAGACCTCCAAGTCCTCGTCGGCGGCTAATGAGCTGGGACTGGCCAATGTGGGCGGCGTCTTCGTGGTCCTGATGGGCGGTATGGGCGTGGCCTGCGTCATCGCCGTCTGCGAGTTCGTGTGGAAGTCACGCAAGGTCGCCGTGGAGGAGCGCCTAAGCGCGATACTGAACGAATGAGAAAAGTCGTAAACCCGGGACGAATGGGTCTAGGCCAGGAATGGGTCTCGGGAGATCAATCAGAAATGCAAGCAGAGATGGGAATGTGCAATTCGGTGGAGCATATATCAAGATCAATAAACAAAATAGCTAATATTCGACATCCCTATCAACCTTAGAGATTGCCGGATCCGCAACATTTTTGGAATCAGTCACCAAAGTCTAGAGGAGTTTAGGGTACCGGAGCCACCAATGAAAGTTTGCACCAGTTTGAAGGCGGCGTGAAACAAGATATTAATAATAGATTCAAGCTACATATGAGAGATATATGTACACTGAGGCATATATAATGCATATATATATTTATACAGGTTATACTCCCTTTCGTAATTTACTCGTAATAACCATACACATAAACTATACACTGGAGGAACCACGCACAAACACTTGCAACAAGTCGAAATCGTATTGCATTTATATTTGAAAGCATTTTTGGGAATTGACCTATAGGCGTAATTGTAGCTAAATTATATATAGACATGCATATAGCCCACGACAGGATCAGCGAACTAATGGAGCCGGACACGATTTACACAATGAATGAATATATATTCAACGCATTTAGCTAGTAGATCTAACCTAAGTGAGTTGTAATTCTATCTTAGATCCATGAACCCAACATTCTCTTGTGTTCCCCAATCTTCTGTCAGTCCCCTAAAATATAAGATTGTAAAATGTAATTACCGCTCATACAGGCAATTCTGACAACAACAATTTCATAAAATACTTACAAACTTACAATTAAATAAAGCAAGTTAACAAAATTGATATCCCTCGTTGAACACCTGCACTCGATTTGGCATTAGATGTGGCTATCGACGCCTAACCGCAAACCGTCAATCACCAGACTTTTCCACTTTCTCCCCAATCAATTTTTCATGGGACTTGCACACGCTCAACGGAAATCGAGTACCAACCCACTTTAATTGGGTTAGCTCTTATCAGAGAGGTATCCTCGTAGCTTCGAGGGGCTTCGCTTCCTCAGTCGTGTTTGATGAATCCTGGCGATATGCGGCCTTCCACTTGGCTTCTGTTCCTGGTTGGACTGCAGCTCTCTATCCTGGTTCCCACTGAGGCCAATGACTTTTCGTCCTTTCTGAGCGCCAATGCATCGCTGGGTAAGTTCGGATTTTAAGGAATTTTCCATAAAATTGTACAATTTATTGGCTATGCAGCCGTTGTGGTGGATCACGAGTACATGACCACTCATGGCGAGAACATATTGGCTCATTTTGAGAAAATCCTCAGTGACATAATACGGGAGAACCTGAGGAATGGTGGCATAAACGTGAAATATTTCAGTTGGAATGCAGTTCGATTAAAAAAGGGTGAGATTCTACACTACTATAAAGATGCAATTGGTTTTAAATATGAAAAAACATAGATTTTTTGGCCGCCATAACCGTTACGGATTGCGAGAATACCTGGAACTTTTACAAGAGTACTCAGGAAACTTCGATTCTACTGATCGCCATTACAGATTCCGACTGTCCCCGGCTGCCCCTAAATAGAGCTCTGATGGTATGGGTCGACTTTCGCTCCTAGGCAACGTTTAGCCTAAAACTACATTTATTTGTAGGTACCCATCGTTGAGAACGGCGATGAATTCCCACAACTTATCTTGGACGCCAAGGTCCAGCAGATTCTTAATTGGAAGACCGCAGTGATTTTTGTGGATCAAACCATATGTGGGTAGAGCTACGAATCATTTGGACCTTCCAGATATTCTACTCATTATTTCTTAAAATAGTAATTTGTAATCAATATTTAATTCCGACAGTGGACGAGAACGTGGTTCTGGTAAAATCGATTGTGCACGAAAGTATAACCAACCACATCACTCCAATTTCCCTGATCCTCTACAAGATCAACGACTCCCTGAGGGGCCAACAAAAGCGAGTTGCTCTGCGCCAAGCTCTGTCCCAATTCGCTCCCCACAAGCACGAGGAGATGCGCCAGCAGTTCCTTGTGATATCCGCCTTTCACGAGGACATCATCGAAATAGCCGAGACCCTAAACATGTTTCACGTGGGCAACCAGTGGATGATTTTCGTGCTGGACATGGTGGGTCGGGATTTCGATGCCGGCACTGCGACCATAAATCTCGATGAGGGAGCCAACATAGCCTTCGCACTCAACGAAACAGATCCTAACTGCCAGGACTCGCTGAACTGCACAATCTCTGAAATTAGTCTCGCTCTGGTCACCTCTATTTCCAAAATTACCGTCGAAGAGGAGTCCATATATGGGGAGATCTCCGATGAAGAATGGGAGGCCATTCGCTTTACCAAGCAGGAAAAGCAGGCCGAGATTCTGGAGTACATGAAGGTATGTATTTCAACTTATCTCTTATCTTATCTCTTCTTCTACCCGTTATTCTTATTGTAAAAGCAAAGACACTAGAATAATAAGATGCGTAGAGCTGGCTCCAGGCTCTCTCGAATTTTTGTTCAAGAGCCAGAGAGAGAGAGCGCTCTAGAGCCAGCAGCTCTCTTGTACGCATCAGTGATGCCAATATTTTTCTGAGAAAAAGGACAGATTGAGAAAAAAATAGGCTGAAAATTTCAAAAAAGGAATAAAAAAAACAGGACAGATTTTGATTTATACGTTTGATTCATACGTTGCCATTGTGCCAATGCGTTTCGGCCATTTTATAGGCTTTATTTAAGACAATTTTTACTACTCACTTTAAAGACCTCACTATTTCACTATTTCAATATAATTATGACAAAATAATAGTTTATTATTTATTTAATTTAGTAGCACTTTGTATACGAATAAACATAAGAATATATATCCCTTTCAGTGTAGGGTAATCAATTTCTTTACAATAATTTTATATTGTATTTTAAATATTTTTTATGAATAAATATTTTAAAATGAATATTATAACATTTCAAACACTTGTATGAATAACATTTGCCCGGTTATTTGTTCAAGAGGGATGCCAATTTGATCTTGCAAGTAATCACACTTAAGAACACATAAGCTACACTCACTGCTCGACCGGTAAGAGAGATTACTTGAACTATTTTGCGACTCTAAATTAGAAGACATGCCTTACAGTCTTCACTAGAACTAGTTGGGAATTATAGGGCTACAAGAAAATATTTTTTCTAAGGAAATATTAAAAGCGGCAATAACTATGTGTTCCGACAGTAAGTTAAACATTCTTCAGGCTTTAATTAGGACAATTTTTACTACTTTGTGCAAGTAACACGTACACTACATACATACATACATACATACATACATACATACATACATACATACATACATATACATACATACATACATACATACATACATACATACATACATACATACATACATACATACATACATACATACATACATACATACATACATACATACATACATACATACATACATACATACATACATACATACATACATACATACATACATACATACATACATACATACATACATACATACATACATACATACATACATACATACATACATACATACATACATATTAGTACAAAAATTTAATAAAATGAATTCAAAAAGGGAGCAAAAAGCAATAGTTAGAAAATTAGTTGAGGATAGTCGAGGAACTGACTGTAATGTTCTCTCTTGTCTTGGGTAGTTCCTTATAAAATGTACGTTGTATTTGACAAATACCATTTTGTTATTCTTATTATTCAATCCGTATGTGGATAGGAATCCCTGAAGACCAATGCCAAGTGCTCCAGCTGCGCGAGATGGCGTGTGGAGACGGCCATTACCTGGGGCAAGAGCCAGGAGAATCGCAAGTTTCGTTCAAGTAAGTCAGATTCTTTTTTTGGATATTAGTGTAACTCAATATCTAACAGTTCCATCACGCGACGCCAAAAACCGAAACTTCGAGTTTATCAACATTGGCTATTGGACTCCCCTTCTGGGATTCGTTTGCCAGGAACTGGCCTTTCCGCACATCGAGCACCACTTTCGAAACATAACCATGGACATTCTGACCGTCCACGTGAGTTTTTGAGCCATGAATATAATTCTTATTATTGGTTCAAATCGCTCGCAGAATCCACCCTGGCAAATCCTTACCAAAAACAGCCATGGAGTCATAGTGGAGCACAAAGGCATAGTCATGGAGATCGTCAAGGAGTTAAGTCGGGCCCTGAATTTCAGCTACTACCTTCACGAAGCCTCATCATGGAAGGAAGAATATTCAGTCAGCACATCAGCGGGCAGCAATGAAAGCGTGAGTATATCTCTCATTGGGGTGGAGCTCCTTGATAAACCTAATTTGCGCAGGATGAGCTGGTTGGTTCCATGACCTTTCGGATACCCTATCGCGTGGTGGAGATGGTGCAGGGCAATCAGTTTTTTATAGCCGCCGTGGCAGCCACCGTGGAGGATTTCGACCAGAAGCCCTTTAACTACACCGTACCCATCAGTGTGCAGAAGTACTCCTTCATCACCCGCAAGCCGGATGAGGTGTCCCGCATCTACTTGTTCACGGCTCCCTTCACCATGGAGACTTGGTTCTGCCTAATGGGCATCATTCTGCTGACTGCTCCCACGCTATATGCCATTAATCGCCTCGCTCCCTTAAAGGAGATGCGAATCGTGGGACTGTCCACAGTTAAAAGCTGTTTTTGGTACATATTCGGGGCTTTGTTACAACAGGGTGAGTGTTTTACTTGAACCAAACAATCGAATATTTTATTCTATCTCTTACCATGGGCAGGAGGCATGTACTTGCCCACAGCAGACAGTGGGCGCTTAGTGGTCGGCTTTTGGTGGATAGTTGTTATCGTGTTGGTGACCACCTATTGCGGAAACCTTGTGGCCTTCCTCACGTTCCCCAAATTTCAACCGGGCGTAGATTATTTGAACCAGCTGGAGCACCACAAAGACATTGTACAATATGGATTGCGAAACGGTACCTTCTTCGAGCGGTACGTTCAGTCGTCGACTAGGGAGGACTTTAAACGCTACCTGGAACGGGCGAGGATCTACGGCAGCGCCCAAGAGGAGGACATCGAGGCGGTGAAGCGCGGCGAGCGCATCAACATCGACTGGCGGATCAATTTGCAATTGATTGTGCAGCGGCACTTCGAGCGAGACAAGGAGTGCCGCTTCGCTTTGGGCAAGGAGAGCTTCGTGGACGAGCAGATTGCCATGATTGTGCCGGCCCAGAGTGCGTATCTGCACCTGGTAAACCGCCATATTAACAGCATGTTCCGGATGGGCTTCATCGAGCGATGGCACCAGATGAACTTGCCAAGCGCGGGCAAATGCAACGGGAAGAGCGCCCAGCGGCAGGTTACTAACCACAAAGTGAATATGGATGACATGCAAGGCTGTTTTCTGGTCCTGCTCTTGGGCTTCACGGTGGCCCTTTTAATAGTTTGCGGCGAATTCTGGTACCGTCGCTTTCGAGCTAGTCGCAAACAACGTCAGTTCACCAACTGACAGGCGAATGTTAAAAACTCTAGTCTTGGAATAGTGTAATTTAAGAATAGTAACTGGCTTATACAAAGCTGATGAGATTTAAATATACATTTAAATAAGCTGTAAAGCTTAATATACATATACCCATTCAGAGCTCGATTTCACTTTTAAATATTTTTCTTGAATTGTATTAACCCCAATAGTAAAAAGTTAAAATTGATAGCTTTGCGCAGCGGAAAACCCAGGATAGTTCATGACTATTTACTATTAAACCATTTAACTGAAGTATTGCAACAGTTGAAAAATGTGTGTTACTTTAAGATTACACTTTAAATAGTTTACACTTGATTACTATTACAGCAAATCTATAAATTTTGAATAGATAAAAATAAATAATCAAGGCGGCACAAAACTGCTCCAACAAACAATTGGAAGAAGCCAAATGACATTTGCTTGCCGGGATTTCACCACTATAACCACTTGAAATGCTTAACACCGGTTGTTTAAAGATTTGAAATTACTTTATGAACATCATATCAATCTGGAGTAAAAGGTAGACACTTGTTCATCCAAAATCCCTCTATGTGGAGTTGGCGTTGGGGCCGCGACGACGTCCGAAGACATGCACAAAGTTGACGAACCGGCGGTTGAACTGGATCCTGCGCTTGGCGCGTCCGGTCTTCTTCTTCTTCTTCTCCTGCTTCTCCACCTTGGGCGTCTGTCCTTTGACCTTGCCGGCACGGGCCAGAGAACCGTGCACCTTACCTCCCAGCATGGGAATGTTGAGGTCCAGCTCAAAGGAGCTCAGGGCGGTCACGGGGGTATCGTTGGCCAGAGTGGTGCCCTCGCAGTCGAGGCTGAATTCCTCGGCGTTGAATCCATGGATCTGGGCCAGTTGGTTCTATGATTGAGATGGCCGCGATGGACGGATGGGAAACACACAGTTAGGTTATGTTATTTGTATATCTCATCTGCGGGACTCACCTTGACTCCGGCAATGGTGGCATCCTGGGAAACCTCCAGGGCCTCGATGGTCTCTAGTCCACGGACGAACAGCTGCATGTTGATTCGCTCTGCAAAGTAACCATGCCGCAAGCATTTATTAGTGGCCATATTCATATTGACTTGTGGGGGGAAACACGTGTACCGAGTTTCAGTCAATTTATTGGCTTTTTAGTTGATTCTCAGGTGGCATTTGGTGCCCAGCACACTTGACCATCGCTCGCACACACATTTCACCGGTATTTTCACTTTAACTGGGCTATTTTCTATTATATTTCGACAAAAATCACTCGATTACCTTTTGACTTGGTGTGCGGATCCCGAAAAAGAAAGATGGCGCAGAAGTATCGATGGGCCAATCGATTTTTGTTGGGGAACTATCGTGTCAGGCGTTAGTACGTTTAATTTAAATGTCTGGCCGTATTACTAAGATAAGGGTGGCAAGAATGGTCAATCGATTACTTATATCGATAACTAAGAGGGTGACCAGTCTGCATTAAGTTTATTGGACTTGCTATATTTTGGAACGTTAGTATTATGTAACCGCTAAGGTTAGTTTAAAAATCGGTATAATTACATATTATTTTTATTACATTGTTTTTTACTGCAACCGGATAACATTATTATTACCAATTATTACTATGGCCTGTCGCTTATCCATTAAATTTTTGAATTAAAAAAACCTATATCAAATTTTATTTAAATTTTTTTCGAAAATATTATATTAATATTATATTATTATTATTATTATACCCGTTCTTCGTAGAGTATAAGGATTCCCTGAAAAGTATGTAACAGGCAGAAGGAAGCGTTTCCGACCATATAAAGTATAAATATTCTTGATCAGGATCAATAGCCGAGTCGATCTCTCCGTTCGTATGGACCTCGAGATCTCATGAACCATAAAATATAGTGGGTTGAGATTAGGCAAGCATATTTCAGAGACATAGACGCAGTGCACGTTGGTTAAATGATCCTGCCACGCCCACTCTAACTCCCCCAAGCCACCCAAAACTTTCACTTACCAATATAACCATTTCAATTACCTTAATTAATTTTGGCACTATATTGCGTAATAGCTTTGAAAATGCACGTATGTAGCAGACCATTGGTAAAAGTAAAATATTGGTAAAAAATAGAATAATTATTCTAGTGTCTTTGGTAAAACCCGAGTAAATATTAAAACCTATTATTAAAATTAGCAATCATCTAAGAAAATATTAATATTTAAAAATGTGCTAGCTACACATGTAAACTTGACAGTTATGAGAGGCGGTTTCCATTTAAACCTAAGGCTAGCACTTCTTAAATCCGTCAGTTAATAATTTCAGTTATGAGTTACGAGAGTTATGTGTGCTAGGGCTAGCACTTTTTAGAACCTATTAATACTTGAATTTGTATTATAACATTACTCATAGACCAAAAATTGTTCCCATGTACCTGCAATATTACACGAATAAAGCTTGGGTTGTTGTCATTGGATAGGTCCTTGTCTCCTTTCCTTCAAAGGATCGCAAAAGGACAGTCTGGCTGACGCCCCGCTAAGCCAGCACACCGCGATTACCGCAATCTACGCAAAATGGGAATTACGTTGAACCCAAAAACTAGTCCGCCCGCGCCCGTCAAGGCGGTGAGGACGGGTCACCAAGTTTTACAAATGAACCATTTACGGAATCTGGGCGCGCATGCGCATGCGCCTGCGCTTGTCTTTTGTTTGGTCCGCAAAGAGGACACAAGACGGAATCCTGGAGGAGTATGGGCTGTGTGTTATTCTACGCCATTAGAATAAATATTGCCGCATTGTTTGTCAAACAGGACTAGATTAGTAACGTAAACATTCGCTCATAGAATGCAAATCATAAGCCGATTTGACAAATTTGCACGAATTATCTACGTCTAATGAGTGCGGCTTAGAACGGTCTGGATCCTCCGAGGTTCTGGACACTAAAATGGAACTTCTGTGACCTGGAAAGACAGCCTTAGCTATAAAAAGTATATGGTTTCCATATATAATTTAGGACTGGCTGTATTCAAGTTCCTTCGATACCAGATGCGACATTTGATATTACTCTCAACCCTTCGACAACGACTACCTTTCGATGCTCATTTAAGATAGCTAAGTGTCACGTGCATTCCCCTCTTCCTGTTGTCCACTTCGATTTGGATGGATATCCAGCCATTCCCTACTCCCATGATCGGATTTGGGCGGGATTAGGGGCAGACATCTCCTGGATTTGCGTAAATTCATTCACCAGACCTTGTGGCAGAATCTGTACTTGGGAAACGCATCCGTAACCATTTCCCCCAAACTGCTTGGAGGAACTGCCGCTTTGTAATCTGATATTTTGCATGTTTGCACACAAAAGCACCGGAAAAATAAATTACTCTTGACCATAAAAACAACGGCAACAATTGCCAAATCGGCTTAGCCAGCCCTTCGTCTTTATTTCGCCATTTGCTGTTTTTCCGGCACGCGAATTTTCTCATTTCCATTCACCTTTTTGTGCGTATTTTCCCATATGAGTTACATTTTAGGCAACAAATATTATTATATCTGTGGTGTCGGCTGTTTTTGATCCCATTATGTAAGTCCGGCGATGGCATGAGAAAAAAAACAGTGAAGTCAACCAGTTTCCGCATTGAAATATTAAATTACTCAATTAATATTTGGTTTGTTTCAGGTGAAATGTATATGAAATGATGGCTAATAAAAATTACTTGCATTGCCTAAAAAAATATAGTGAGATTTTATATTTTTTGGTAACATACTCAATATATATTGCCTTTTTATTTTGTTATCTCAGAAATGGGATACAGTGTATGATTTTGTATACTATGTTAGTTAAATTGCAAGCATGCAAATATGTATATAGAAGCAAAAATAGGTTTTCTTACTTTTAAAATTATAGGTTTAAGGTCAGATTTTTTATTTCGTAATCTGAAAAGGAAACTGAATTTTTTAATTCCTAATTTATAAGGCTTTCATATTGAAGACCGCAATCCTTTTGCTCAGTCAAAGGAAACTTTTTTATTGATACAGATTGATTTTATTTTATCTCTGTAATGATTTCTTGAATCGTCCTATGACCGAGAACTTTAAGCAAGTATTAATGATAAGATAATGTAAGTATTAATGATATATATAAGGTAAGGTACTTCCTAAATAGCAAAAAGGGATTCGTCAAACCTTAACAAATTTCAACCGAACACCTCTTTCAATACATCATATCAATGAGGTAAATTTCACATTTCCTAGGAAGAAAGAACCAAAATAAATGTCAACAAAACACTTATTCGAAATCGTTGAAGCGAATTGAAACCAATCTAAGTTCCATGTAAGAATCTGTAGATATGTATCTAACTAAAATGCACTCGCTAAATTAATACAGTGACATAATACAAGCCTAAAAATTCAGATATTTACTTCTTTTAAAACTGCATGACTAAGCGATTTGTAGATGCGCAATACCATAAGAAAATTATGTTTAACTGGACCTGCTTAAATTATTGAGTTGAGAACTTAGCAGGTTGCTTTCTTAAGGTAAAACCACATTGAGTAACTATTTTATAACGTTTAATATTTTATTGGTTTTGAATGAGGACCCATAAAAGTCCAATAAATTCGGAATAATAGATTTTATATTGTCAGATTCCTTATGGTACTACTTAAGCCTATGAATTATATTTACAGAAAGCCACTAAATTCGTAACAATTACAGTCCATGATCAAGCTCATAATCATAATCCAGCTCATGATCAAGATACAACGATCATTTCCGGTTCCGGACTGGAGGCGTTCGATGAGAAGGTGGAGTCACAGCTCTCGTCCTTTTCGCGTTTCTCCCGTCGCTCGCGAGCCCTTCGATTCTGAAACCAGATCTTGACCCGCGTGTTGGTCAGCTCCAAGGAGTCCGCTAGTTTATTGGCGTCCTCAGCGCTTAGGTAGTTAGACTCCTTGTAGGCACTTTCCAAGGCCTGCAGCTGCTGCGGAGTAAATGGGATGCGGGGCAGACGACCAGGAGTTCTTTTTGCGGGCGCATTTTGCCGGAGGGCCCTGGGCAACTTGGGTGGATGGTAGCGGGTGTACTGCAGCCAGTCGTAGACGGGAAGCTGAGCCTCCGCAGCCGAGGCGGGAGGAGATCCTGGAGACTCCTTCGAGGAATAAGATGCTGGGTGGGCGTACGGATGGAAAGGCAAGCTGGCACGGAGTCGCTGCAGGACTCCCAAGGAGGCGTTGGTGCCCACATATCTGTCCCCGGCTCGGTTTAAAATATACTCGATGCTGAAGTCACTCATCCTGCGGCGATCCTTTCGCTTTGATGGTCGAAGTGCTACTGCTGAGTTGGCTGCGCATCCACGAGCTATTTATCCAAGGACCTCCCATCGCCGCCATTTGCATCCCAGCAGATAGTATGGCCATCCCTGTCTGGCAGGACGAAGAGATTGGCTTGGCCCAATTCAAATCTCATTCGGAAGCAACGAGCCGCTTAATAGGCGTTTCCCATCTGTCCGGCCAGGTAGAAATCCGTTGGCTCACTTATATTACCCTCTCACCGGTACAGATTAGGCCCACGAAGGCAATGAATTACAAATACACGGGTTCAACTGTCTCTGACTCCCAGTAAAATGTTCGCAGTGATTCGAATTCAGTTTTGAATGATTGTATCTAAACACCCTTTGATGATACGAAAATATGAACTTATAAAAAGGAGAGCCCATCATGTACTGAATTAAATATTTGGTGTATAAAAAGAAATATGTGGTTTATATCCCGCGTATAATGCAATAGTTTGCCATGAAATTTAAAGATTGTTTTAGTCCGTTCCTAAATTCAATAATGTGCCACGGGAATTTGATAATATACTTAATATACTTAAATTCTAAAATTCTTAAATATTTAAATTCTATTTAATGTTTAGTGCAATCTTTAGCCCCGCTAAAGAGTTGAAGAAATTGTAGTAGAAGTAGAAACTGATAAGCTTAAAGTTCTAAGCAGAGAGCATCTGATCTTCGGTGCATACCGTTGCCCGAGCCAAATATAAATGTGATAGTTTTTTATTTGTTGTGGTTTTTGTTTGACGATGTTCAGGGTAGTTGCTCCTGAGTTTAAATCATCCGCTGCCATGTTTTTCTCAAGCCCTCCCATCCTATCAGATCCCATTCCATTCCATCCCTCTCGATGGGAAAACAAGTTGAGCCTGATATATTTTGATGCTCGTATGTTTTGATTGATTCGTAAATTTGTTTTCATAACAGTTGCCTTTGCGAAACGAGTTTTGAGGCAGCCCTCGCTGAGTTCTTAAAGTATCAATTACACTGTTAATTGAAAATAACCACTGAATGGCCATTGAAATAACCACTATCTATCTAGGTTGCAAAAGGGAGGAAAGCTTGTAAATGGCTGTTTATCAACGAGTTTCTGTTATCATATATTTTAATAAAACCAATTATCTTATTTAAAATGATACTCCTTGATGAAACTTTTTGGCATTTGGAATGATACATGGCATGGACGACTAAGTACCTGAACTTGGCATACAAGCTTATAAAAAGTAATTCATTTTCATTATTCTTTATCGCCTCTTTTTATTTTAAAGCCCCATAATACCAACGACCTAATGGAAAACGTATCTATCATTATGTACTGATAAAACATACTGGTAGTTACTATTAATCATGCAAGTAATTATCTAAGCTTTGGTAATCCGGACGTTCTGTATCGTATCCAATATAGTGATAATAAAGGAGGAATCTAGCTTAGCCAAGCCGAAGACTTTATACCCTTACAGAATTTGTACTCTTTAAAGGCAACTGATGTAAATCGAATAAGAACACTTTATGAACAACGAGACTATGAATTCTTTTCTATAAAAATAATTATTTTCAAATAAAACTTGGTTGAAATGTTTCGTTTGTAATTCCGATCCACATAAAAGTATCATATTGGATGCATCCAATAAAAGAAGTATCTCTAAATTGTCGCCTATTCCCAAGCTTTTTTAAAAATATTATCAATTTCCTTTTGCAGCACTTTTATAGACCTACTAACCACTTTGAAGCTTACTTCATTTGTCATACTTATGATATACGGTTTAAAAAAAACTTTCAAGCATATGACTACTTCTGACTTTAGTAAAGCACATGACTCTGTTAGTAATTCACTCTGTGGGTGGGAATCTCGATTGAGTATTTTGCCCGGTCGAATTCTTAGAATGGATTTTAAGTTATTTGAATGGCAGGACACAAATCATCTTGAAAAACAAGGGAGACCCCGTGTTCCGCTACTATTTACCTTATTTATGATTAACTTTTCCTTAGGCATAACTTATTCCCGTGTACATTACATACATATGTACGCATAATTATAGCTGCAGTATAAGGACATTTCGTGCCACTCCATTCTAGATAGTTTTAAACAATTTACTAAACTTAAATGTTAATTTAGTAAGGATCACCTGTTTGTTAATAGATCCAGCCTAAATTGGAATTCAACCCTTATATTACAGTAGTCTACTTTAATTAACCAACCCAACCGTAGAACGATGCTGAGATCAGTCCTTATATATAAGTGACTCGGTTAGTCACTGAACTTTTTTGTGCCAAGTAGATTAACTAGGAATTACATTCCCCTATTTTCAGTCTTTATCCTATAATCTCAATTTCTGGCACTCTGCCGTTCCTAACGCGATCAATACTTACTTTTTTAGCGAATCGAGCCGTACGTTACATATATTGTCAGACAATTGGTAACGTTTATCAGTGCCACAGTTCTTCCATGAATGTTATAAATAGCAAAGCACTTTGAGAAGAATAAAGTATTTATATATAGCACCGCGGAAATGTTAGACGTATTTTTTGTCTGCAATTATGTACAAAATAAATTAAATGTGGAAGGTCAATGAGATTCATATATGTGAGTAATGTTGAGCCGGTTTCCATCCTCAATGTAGTCTTAATAACAGATGTAGTAGTAATAATAAGCAGTAATAATTAGGGTAGTAGATATAGCATATATTGTTTAAGCGGCTGTTACAACTAGCTCAAAAAATACTTACAAAGATTTAGGTTCATTAGAGCCAGTATCTTTTTCTAATCACTGGACAATTACCCGAGTATCTGTCAATTGTCATGGAATTGTCAACTAATTTTCCATTCGCACAATTTGCCAAGCTGCAATTACGTTTGCTAAAATAGATGCTAGCAACTAACGATCCGGCCACAGATCCACCCCAGTGATAAGATTTCATACCTCCGGAGGACAAAGGCTCCGAGATCCGACAGATTACAGTAGCGAGTCCTTTTTTGTGCGGTCTTGCGGTTGTCCAGAGTTTAGAGCTGGAATTCAGCAGATGCAGTACTTTTTGATCTCCTTAACCGACGAGCATTTCGACATTTTGGCGTAAGTGTTCAACCGACTGATGCTGGGCATCTGAACGGGAATCCTTTGGGCACTGGCATCCCATTCCACGGTGGCCTCGAAGAGGGCGTCACCCGGCATGACACTCAACTGGATAAGGTACCTACTAGAGTTCCCTCTTCTCTGGACTGAGGATATCCGGTTCAGTTTCAACAGACGGCATCGTTCCGCTCCTTTTTTGCTGGCTACATATTTGTTGATGGACTCCACCAGCTGAGTGGACATGCTCCTGGCACTGGGATCTGTTGTGGCCACTTCGGAAAAGGTGTCACACGTGCACCAGTGCTCCTCGATCCCGGCCTGGGAGCAATTTCTGGACCAGTCCACCTCCTCGAAAACGCTGTGGCAGGTGGAGCAGCCCTCAGGGCGAGGAAGCCTATCCTTCGGAGTGTCCAACTCCAGGATGTGTCTCAGGCTCGCATGGATATCGTACGGCGATGTGAGGCGATTTCTGTTTACCTGCAGGTTGCGCAGGAGCTTTGGGTACTTCTCACGAATCCAACGCGGAACACGGATATATATGAAGGGCAACCGTTCGTCCACGAAACCGCTATCCAATTTCCTCAATGGTCCAAATCTGGTTCCATGATCGCTGAAGAAGATGATGATGGTGTTATCCATTATGCCGTTTTTGTCCAACGTCCGCATATACTTCACCATCCTCTCATCCATGACGGAGGGCATAGAGAAGTCATTGTGGCTGAATGTGTTGGTCCAGAACATGCCAAAGAAGGTGCTGTTCCGATTGACCATGGTGAACTGGACGCCCAGGTCGTAGATGTACTCGGAAGCCGGCTTGCGCCCCAAGCAGTAGGGCATTTGACCTTGCTGCGTTATCCTTAGCTCGTTCTCCACGGCCAACACCAGTGGTCTGCCGTACACGTCCGTCGGAGGATTGAAAAAACCGCTGCTTGAGTAGTCAAATGTGGAGAACTTGCTCCAGTCCTCGGCGTAGGCAGTTGTGTATCCTTTGTCCTTGAAGTCCTTCCAAATAAATGGACAGGCATCCAGTCCACGCACCTTATCAGGATGGCACCGTGCGTTCGCATAGGTTTTGTTGAATCCCGTGAGAATCGCCATCAGATTCGGAAACGTGTTGTCACCCATCTAATGTAGAAAGGTGAGAAGTTTGAATAAATCCATATGATTTGTAATACTTTTTGCGAAATTTGTAAAAAGCTAAATTCAAGTTTTAATTATTTTCCAGACTTCTAATCACCTTATTGTATCCCTGAAGCTCGAACCAATGTTGATTGTTCAAGTACTCGTACATCCGGGGCATCGTTAGCTCAAGAGTCATTCGTGAAATGGAATCAATGCCCCACAGCAAAACACTGGGCCTCCGTTTATGCAGTGATGTACGATTATTTATCTGATCCTTCCGCGGATGCACAAAACTAAAGGCATCCATTTGCGACACCTTATCGAATGGAGGCCGGCGGCAATAGGTGAGCATGGCAGTCACTTCATTTGGCACCAAGTGGTCCTGCTGAAATTCAACGCAAGGACGCAGCCTGCCGGGATACTCATCTTCAGTGTCCATCTCTGAATGTCCTGTGGAACTTACTTGTACTGATTGTCCGCGTTGGCTGAAGATCCTGCTCGTAGGATCTGCTTGAAGCAGCATGTGGAGTTTTCGTTCTTGTGCAGCCTGTAGGTGCTGTCTGATTCATTAAAGATCACTGTGATCATGTCGCGACTTTTATCACACACTATATAGGAATGTTTCTTGTAGATGTGCTGGATGTTTCTGGCGAAGGGATTTGGGTGGCTCATTTTGCACTTCGGGCTATTGACGAAGTATTTTCTTCCAGATTCTTCTAATGCATAATGTTGTGATATGCTACTTTCAATTGCTTTATCCGTGTGGGCGATGGTACTTATCTCGGTTTTATCCTCTGTGGAGCTCTCAGTATGGGTTTCTTCGGTAGTCTCCGTCTGTTTCATCCTACTCAGACTAGTTGTTTCAGTTGTATATATTACATCCAAAAGCCTCGAAGAATTACCCAGATTGTTGGTCCAACTTGACCCCACAGAGAGTCGCATGGGCCTCCAAGGGGAAAAAAGAGCTGCACTGCTCTTCAGCGGACTATCAGTGCAGCTCAAGGTATAAATTGCCAAGGTAAAAATCACCAAGCTTAGAAAGAATATCTTCACTATCCAATTTGAAGGTTTCTTTTCGCCTTGTTCTCGCTCCTCACTTGGAAGAAGTTCATATTTAATATTCGTCATGTTAGAATTGACTCTAATCGCAAACTAACATTTCCATTAACATATGTAAATCGATTTTGTTATTACAAAAAATTATATTCTTCTAGTATCTTCCGTTTCATTTATTCTTGACCCGGCGTTATCCACACCATTTCCGCTATTTAATAGAAATCGGGCCCATATGTCCGCCACGCTCCGAATTTTACACACAACTGACGATAGCTTTCAATAGTCAGCAATGCTGGGGGCTATCTATTACTACTCAACCACTGAGTGCTCGTAAGTTTCTGGGAACTGTGCGGTCCACTGAGATAACTCCGACTATAAAGCGATAACATAATTATTTCGAAGGCGATTCGTTGCCCCTTGACGCTGATTACGTTATCCTAGTAAATGTTTTCTGTCATTTTTGTACAATAACCAATAAAGGAAATGCCTTTGCCTCCAGATGCTTGGCGTGACAAATTCTCTAAACAGCTTCCAACAACGGCAGATGTCCAGTGGTTGTGATTTCCGAGTTAATAAACCTGCAAAGCGAATATATGGATTATTAAAACTATTACTCACTAATAAAATACATTAGTACACTGAAATCTGTAACTCTGTATCAAAAAGGTAATATATAGAAATATAATTATTTGGGCTACATAAGTTGATAGAGCGGGTCTTCAAGTTAAGCGCCTTTAAAAAAAATTATAAATTTATAACAAAAATTTAAAGCTGTCTTTGCACTAAAGCTAGCAAGAATTTTTCACGTTTAGCATGTATTCATGACTTTCCAAGGCGACTTAAGAAATTGAAATAACAAAAGATTACCTCATAATAAACCTAGTGAGTCTATAAGAATAGCTAACTTGAAATGCAATAAAGTGATCATTATTCACATATACCCAAGGCAGACGCCAAGGAAAAAGGTATGCAGGTAATTAAATTGTTTTTGTAAATTGATGAGCTGTTGCAAAAAAAAAATGAAGGTAAATTTCACACTGCATAAGGCATTGTAATAATTCTATTATTATCTGCTTTGAGAATATGACTAAGCAGCGATCAAAGTAAGAACACTTTGAAAAACATTTTTTCGATAAATAGGTTCAACAGATAATTAATTAATGAATGGCGGAAAGTAGGTATTATATATATATACATAAATAAATATAAAATAAATAATATATAAATATTATATAATTTATATGGTCGGAAAGGTTTCTACCACCCCGTTACATACTTTTTAAAGAATCTATTATACCATTTTAATCTACGAGAAACGGGTATAATTAGAACCATGCGAATTATTTTAACACAGTATCATATTTCATATATGTTTTATTATTAGTTGCTTTAATTGCTGTTAGCAGGGCTGCCTTAAAATTATAACCTAATTACTAGCGTTATTATAAAAAGTAAACAAAAAACTTCTTAACGAGGTGAGGTAAAAGAGATCAACTCCTTAAATTTCGGATATCAAGTTTTGAGACGATTAATAGAAACAAGTATGTACAAGTCTAGATTTTTCGCAATGTAGTACCGAAACCATTCGAAGCGTATTTGAAGCTCTAATACCAAAGCTTAATTTTAAAAATTATTTACTTCGCCCTTATTCTCCCATTTCTTCTCAACTAATTCATTTATAAAACAAAAGAGAAGGCTATAGTCGCGTTCCCCGACTATCAGAGAGCCGTTACTTAGCTAGTGGAAGTTGGAACGAGAAATTTCACCATTTTCTGGAATATCCGTAGAAATAAATACTAAAATATATAAAAAAAAGTTTTATTTTAAAATGGACGGCTTGGATGGTTTGTGGGCAATAGAGGGGGCGTGGCAAAAAGGTCTTGGGCCAATTAATACAAATTTACAAATCTAATTAAAAAAATGATAAATATCCAAGCATTTTATTTCCTTCTTCCTGTTCGAGTAACGGTTATGACCAAAGAGAAGGCTATAGTCAAGTTCCCCGACCATCGCATATTCAGATTACGAGCGAGAAATTTCGACATTTTTTAAAATTTCTGTAGAAATTGGGGGGAGAAAAACATGTTTCAGAACGTTGCCACGCACACTCCAACGCACTACACACTTTACTGAAGGCTTCTTCCTACCTGTTACACACTTTTCAGCGGATCCAGTATACCCTTTTACTCTACGAGTAACGGGTATCAAAATCAAAGCCTTATCATACAGCTACATGCAAACAGTCGATAACTATTTGAAAATAATAGAAAAGAAATCATAGTGTGTTTTCGATCATAGGGTTCTTATACAGTATACATACTTTTTTACATTTCAAATTTCGGTTTTAATCTGATCAGCATCGTATTACTTCCTTATTTGTTAAACGAATTTTTGCAAAGCAACGGAGCGGTAAATAGTCACTTGTACTTTTTTTACTTGTGATTGAAATAACATGATCCCCAAAAGCATGCAAAAAAATGTAATCTGAACAGTTCAAATTATTTCAACAGCGTTTACATTACGCTATTCAAATAATTTGAACTAATTCGTAAAATATAACAAACAAACTGAAGAAATAGCATCGGGTTTTGATTTTTTTTATTTCAATAATTTAAGTCATTTAAAAATGTACATTTACAGTATACATAATCCAACACGTATGTATACACAAAACTTCATAAATAATAAAATGTTCCAGAAACGCATTACAAATGCTATGCATGTACAATATCTAAATATGCCATAGACTACGCTGCGCCTCCCGGCTGACCACAAAAAAGGTTTACGGCACAGAGAGGGAGTAAAATTGCGGCCGCATCGTGACAAAAAATACATAATTTCAGTTTCAGTTTGTTATACATAGCATAAATTACATAATACATTTAATTTGTAATGTCATTTCGTACATTGACGTTTACACTTATTGTTCTGTTGACGACTTTCGCTAAGTTTTCTGTTACATATCTGCATGTTCGTATCGACCTGCTAACGGCCGCATTGCTACTGTTGGTGAGTTGATTGGTAGGTTGGTTGGATGATCGGCATCGGGATCGCTGCATCCATTCGATGCCCAATGCCTCAGATGCCGCACTATCGTCCGGATAAGTACGAATAGTGCAAGCGATTGCTCATAACAATTTCTAATACATATGTATGGTAATGTTTTCATCAACGACTCTTTACTGTATACGCAATCCGTAATGCGTCTCTAACCTCTCTGTTATGCTGCATATACATATCTGCGAGTATATAACTGCTTAACGACTTCCACTATTCCCCTACGCCGGCTTACGCGGTCTCCACATAGTTGGCCGGATACAGTCCGACGCGCCCATTCATGCGTCCCTTGCACCAGCCTTGTTCGTCTTCATCTTCGAGCTTCTCGAAAACATCACCTGAAAAAGAAGAGTAAATGGGTGAACGAGCGGTGAGCGGAGACCGTTGGAGATTATCATATGGAGGGCTTCCACACACCTTGCTTGAATGTGAGCTCATCACTTTCAGCGCCCTCGTAATCATACAGCGCTTTGACCGGCACGCCCGGCTCACCGTTGTCCACCAGCACGTTGTCGCCCTCGTCCCACTCCTCCTCCTCGTCGAATGGATTTGCATCGACTTTGCCGTTGCCGTTGCTGTGTATACAAATTGAAATCAATTAGTTCAATGAAAATGAGCGCATTCAACGCGACGTGTCTCTGGGTTGGCGAGCAAGCCAGCCATCCAGCCATCAAGCAAGTCCGAGTGTAATTCAAAACAATACAAACTGTTTCAACTTACGTTACGCTCGAGTTGCGATTGGATGCCGCTGACGCCGCTGTTGCCGCTGCTGCCGTTGTCGTCGCAGCGCCGGCAACTGCCGCCGATGTTTTGGCATCCGATGTGGTGGCTGAGGATTGCGTGGTCGCTATTTCGCTCTTCACACTCGCTCTGCTGCTGACACTGCTCAAGGTGCTGGTGTTCTTCTTCAGGCTGTTTGTCTGGGGGTATTCCTGCTGAAAAGCTGGCTTAGTCAGATATTAACTACTGTTTGGTCAACTCGCTTACGTGCACATCCTCGGCCACAGGTCGCTGGTTGATGAGCGTGATGGGTGCTGCCGGCAATGCCTCTTTTGATTTGTTGCCCTTGGCAATGTCACGGAACTCCTCCGTGTATTCCTGTCAACAAAGCGGAAATTCCATTAGCGGCTGAACTGGGCTTCAGTAGAACAGAAAACTCACCACAAATGATGGCCAGTTCATGGCCATGTTAATGCCGTGATTGTTCGACCACCATTTTAGGTCTTTCTGCTGGTCTGCATTGTTGATCGTGTGGGAGAACTCCTCGTAGATTTGGGGCAGGCTGTAAGCAATGAAAAGTGTTTTAAAATAAGTCAGTTATGGTGAAGTCAAATTCTTTTCGCACCTTTGCACTTTCGTGAGGTCAAGGCACGAGTGCACGTTGAACAGGATTTCTTTGAAGAACTGCAGCCGCGTCTTCTCAAAGGTTTGGCACTTATCAAACACGGATGTCATGTCCTCGATATACACCGAATTGTATTTGGTGATTTCAGCAATCGCCTGCTCGTACTTTTCCCGGCACTTTTGCACTTGATCTTTGGTCTTTTGCACTCGATCGTGCATTTTCTTCACCTAAATAGGAAATAGGATATTGTGTGGGCATAAAAGTGATAAATGAACAAGCCTTAAGATAAAGTATGATGTAAATTAAACCAATAATTATATATACGATTACACTATGTAATACAATTACACTGTGGCTGTGCTGTAAAATAATAATGATACTTTCACACAAAAAGTAGCATTACCATTGTTATATATTTATATACATTATTTAAACACAGTCTATTTTAAGCATAAATACTATTTTTACTTTATATTTAAAATAAAAATGGGTCTTAGTACATACAATCATATGACGACGAAATATTTTTAGATTTTTTGAAGATCCTTACCTGATCCGGCGACAACGAGCTGTCGGCATTGGCATTGCGTTCCTGATTGGTAGCACTGCGCTCCGTCTTGCAGGCCGAATGGTAGTCCGCTTTGGCCTTCTCGACCTTGGCCAGCAGCTTAGCCCAGGGTTTCTGGGCCTTCTTGAACAGGTCCTCCAGGTCCTTGCGCTCCTTGATCTGCATGAGCGTGTGGTGGTAGTTCTCCTTCTGCCATGTCTTTATCTGGCTGTTCACATCGTTGCAGAGATTGTCCTTGATCTTCATGTGAACGTCGGAGATGCGTTCAGATTCCGTCAGCACACCCTTCCAGGCTGCCTCCGTGGTTCCATATTCCGGGCCTGGAACAAATCAGGCATGGGTTACATATCTCTTATAGCGATTCTCAATTAACAACAGATTACAAGCGTGTCACCAAGTCGAGCTGACGTC